ATGTGCTGATATAATTATTCTTATTTTGGAGAACCTGATGTTAGGTATCTATATTTTATAATGTTTGGCAACAATATCCAGTTTTGTAATGTTCAAAATGCTTCCTTCAGTCTAGAGTTTTCCCCAAATTAAGAGGTTAACAGTAGCTGTTTTAGGAAAATGCAAGTATTGATTGCTGGACAACAAATCAGATTAACTGCCAGGCTTTTCCTTAGTTCTCTCCTTGAGATACTCTTCTCTGAATGTTGTATGTTTCTTTTTTTTTCTTCCAAATCTGGGCAGAAACAGTATAATAAATAATGTATTTAGCTCAGAAAGGAGAACTTGTGAAATGACTGTGTGCACAAGCAGCCATGATACCTTATTAACTAACTTTCTTCTCTTTCCTCTGTCTCATAGCTGTTCTGCTCGAGGCTGCTCTTCTGCTTTGTCTATACTTTTCTAGCCTTAGTGGGTGATGCCACAACATCTTTAACGTGCAGATCCCCAGATCCACTAGGTGTGTATCGCTTGCTTTTCTCTGCATGCTTTCTGGTACTGCATGGGGGATAACAGTCATTCAATGCTGCTCGTCTCTTGTGGCACTTGAGGATGACCATATGATCAGCATGTGTTCTGCTTCAATCCCATAGATGATTTAACCCCTGTTTTTGCCTTTGTTTGGTGGGTTTCCTCCGTGCGGAGCCGCACCGCTGCTGCTGCCATGCACGTGCACGGGCTTTCTTCATGCTGCTTGCACAGAACCTGACGTGCTGTATTTACCAGCTGCTGGTTCTGCACAGCACTACTGCTTGTGAGCACCTCCTCACTGCACTGCTCCTTGTTAGCAGCATTTATTGGGCTTGAACTGGGTTCAAAGGGAGCAATAGCAGCGTGGCTAGGTTCAGTATTCGGAGTCCTGCGTGTCCTCAGAGCCACCTCGGCGAGGAAGCTTTGGGCTGCCCTGTGGCTGCCCGGTGGACACGGCCCTCTCCAAATGCTCTCTCAAATTTCATTGGGATTTGAGCTTTTTTAGTGACTGTTTGGACTTGGTGCCCAATTCTCGTACACCTTGACCCCGTTTATCCAAAAGGCTCTTTGAGAACTCTTGCCTATCCCATAGTAGCAAAATTAGAGCACACAGCTAAGTCACGTTTGGCAGGGGACCAAGGACCTGAGGCATCCCAGTGTCCCTGAGACCCTTCACCGGAGGCAGGAGTTGGGATTTGGGGTATAGGTCCCCTTCTGACTCTGCACGGGGGTGATTTTTATCCCTACTGAGCACTTAAGCTGTACTGACTTACAGAGGCCACTTGATGCATTAGTTCTTCCTATGAGCACACAGGGAAAAAAAAATGGATCCTCTTGTTTTGCTTCAGCTTTAATGCAACACAATAATAATGTGTTTTAAATGACACAGGCAGGAAATGCTAGATTTGCTGCTGTGGGCATAGCTCTTGACATTCTTCAGGTGAGTGTTTGCTGTGTTTAGAAGTACAGCCCAAGGAATAATCTTTATCTGGCTGCTATAGGTCAAATATTTTCATTTATTTATAGGCTTTTCAATGTATTTTAATCTTTTTACAAATGGTAGCAAAGTGCAAGTGGCAGCCTGAGTAACTAACTTATGAGTCAGTGCGATTTTTTGTTGTTGATTTTTACTCCCCTAGTCTAGACTGCTGATAATGAAAATTGTTGAAACCCTGAGTAAATAATGGGGAGTGCAATCAACAGCATGCAAGTATTTATCTGCTAATAAATCATTTGAAATGCATAAGTCTGTCTTTGTCCAGTGGTTCTTAAAGGGCAGTTATTGGTTCTGCTGCTGTTTTCTGCATAGCAATCAGGATTTTTATGGTCACTAATTGTACATCTGAAAATTTATACAGTTTATTTTCTGCCTATGTTTTTCTTTGCACAGAGAAAAGAAGCATAGTATTTATGCTTGTAAGGAGGTTTACACTTTATTTCCTGCACAGAGATCTCTATAGTTCTCTAGAGATTTGTACCATTTATAGAACCTAATTTTTCTAGGTTTTCTCATGTGTGGCATCAAGTGCTTCTACCTCATTAAGAAAGTTCTGAATGAGATCTTTGTCATATTTGCAGAATATGACTTGAAAGTTGTACATCAGCTCAATCATCAGCTGTGGCTTTTATTATTAAAACTGTTACTGCTTCAGAATCGTGTATTACAGGAGGTACTTCCAGTTTTTCAGGGCATTGGTGGTAATGAGTTTTCTTAGAATGAAAACTTTCATCATCTATTCTAAAGGGAATGCATTGCTTTGAGTTAGTTATTGTAGGTCACATCCTATCATCTTCCTCTCACATTTTTAACTGATTTTCCCTTTTTGAAGGCAGCTCATGGAAGCATCCAACCACTTGAGCCCCCAAAAGGTGATGGAGCCTGGCCATGTCCTCTCAGACAGGACAGAGCTGGAAACGAGCCATATTAGTTACAGGCTAAATACTGAAGTTTAATGGGAGGCAGGTTAATTTGCAGGATTTGGTTTTAGATGAAGCTCTGGTCTGCATGAGGAAACACAGTAAATTATTAGAGCAAGAGTGATTAGCTCTGCAGTGATGACTTCCCCAAAGAGCTCAGTCCTGGCCCGATGTGGGGACATCGGTGCTGGGTTTGCGTTTCCTCCTGGTGGGTGTTAGGCTTGCTTACCTTGTCATGGCTAAGTCAGTTTTCAAACTGCTCTTTTTTTTCATGACAGGAATTCCTTTAGCCAAAAACAGTCTTTATTAGGATTTCCAGAGGGGTCTACCGATCCATTAACTTGCAAAAGAAGCATTTCATCCTGGGTCAGATACATCCAAGATCAAGTTTAGCCCACATTTAAATTGGAGGAGCGAGAACTAACGGAGAACTAGGCTGCCATGTTCATAACAAGAGATTAATGTAGTGAGGGCTGGAGAAAACAGGGGAGGTTCTGGCCTGTTGGGTGAACTACCCGCCGCCAGCGAGAGGGACCAGCCTCTAAAAGCTCCGATGGCCTCTGAAGAGCCGCGTCACAGAGCCCTGGGCGTCGCGTACCCAGCGCCTGTGCGCGGGGCTGGCGGCCGCTGGGCACTGCACCGTTAGCATTGAAGAGAGCTAGAAGAAAATAGATATATTTTTTTTCTCTTTCTGCATGTAGGATCGCAGTCTTTTTCAGTCTAATGTTCTCCAGGTTCTTTGTCCATGCTAAGACCCTTGATCCTGAGTGGATACACCAGGAGTTGGGTGAAAGGACCATGAATTGCCCCTTCTCTTGTGGTCCCCCATGGGAGCAGCCGTGGAGCCCGTCCAGTTCCTCTCCCTGGCTTGGCCTCTTGAAGCAGGGCAGAACTTGCAGATACATTCCCATTCTTTGGAGCCAGCTTCCATCCATCCAGAAAGCCTGGCTGTGTTTTCCCATAGCTGTGCCAGGCCTATGGGGCGCTGCCCTGCCGTGGGCGACTCGCTCAGCGCTGTCCCCCGTCCTGTGGACTTCCCGTGTAGACCTCCTCCTACCCGGCTGCGGTTCTCCTGGGCAGACATTAAAACACTGTCCCAAGGTTGGGGACACTGCTAACGACCCAGCACTGCACAACAAGGCTCGGAGTGGAAGACTCCAGAAGCAGGCGGCCTGCTCCGTGTTCTGACCGGAGTGTAACGCTGTGGAGCTTTTCGGTTTTCTTCCAGAATATCAGTAGAAATTAAATCAGTGCATGCATAAGAAACGCCTTTATACTGTATTATAACTTACACTCACTGGTCCGTAGAGATAAATGCTCAAATCATTGTTATAGATGAACATCATGAGAATTATACGTAGTAGGCCTTGTCTAGGATCCAGTGCGATCTCATTTGTCTCAAAAGCACCTCCCTTGGCATTAACCATGGCCCATGGAGCAATACTTAAACTCGTAATTTCCTTGCTTTGGCAAATCTTAAGGCAAATCCTTGCTTTGGTATCTGTTTCCTTTGCCCATGGTATCTTTTGGGCCTGATTTGGGCTGATTTCAATCAATTTTGGCAAAAAAGAAGCTCACAGGGTTACTTATGTGTTCCTGCAAACTTGGCAAAAGACATGCAGCTCTTATGGAAGCACCAAAGGGACAATTTCTAACTTCTGTAGCTCCTAGCACCTCAGAGCAAGCTCTTCATTTCCCTGCACACACAATAAAGGTGACAGTGGGGTATTAAATGGAATAAAATGGTTTACTTCATCACCTGCTAGAGATGACATAAGCTAGAAGATATACCCCACATAGCTGCGTTTTGACTTCCTGCTTTTTTCCTAAATTTGCGACACAAGCAGTCCTGTGTGTTTTCCATGGGAGATATTTGATTTGGGGGGTTGTTTTCTTCATTTACATTATGGGCAAACAGCTGCATGAAGGGCTGTTTCACTGGCTGCCATGCTGAAATCATCAGACACATTTCAACTGCAATTGCACTGTCTGCGCTTGGGTTTTCCACATTGCAGTGTTACTCCTGCAGTTTAAAAATGAAAACTACTTTTAGCCACTGCTTGCTAAATTTAGGGATGTTCCGTTCACTTGATAAAAAAAGGACACAGCTGTTTCCTGGTACCATAAAATTTCTGTTATACTTCTTACTTGGCCTGTAAAAGGCAAAAATTCCAGGTGTCTGTACTGAGAAAGGTTGTGTTCCTCATATCTTTTTTTTGTATAGTTCTGTTAACTACATTACTGTTTGCACAGTGAAATTAGCTTTGCAAGAGGGATGCAAACCCCTTGTCAGACAGAGCAATTTCAGAAAAAAAAGATCAAAGGAATTCTCTCCAAGGTGAGCATGTGTTCTTTTTTTGAACAGCAATGCCTTGGCTTAATTACTTTTAATTTAAAATGAAATCGGTGGATGGAAATGAAGTCTTTTCAAAGAGCAGCAGTGTTTGCTTCCTCGAGCGAAGGCTGTTCCAGCAGCAGGGTGACTAACAATGTGCGTTTTTATTCTTCACCTCTGACCTGTGCCCTCTCCACCCCTTTACCTAACCCTTTCCGTTTGCCCTGGTCAGTTAACAGGCAGGAGCATTTCAAAGAAATCATGGATGACTATGATATCAGGTCTGCCGCCAGCATTTTAGCCTCCGTTAAGGAGCAGGAGGCGCGTTTCGAGCGGCTGGCGCGGGCACTCGAGGGGCGCAATGTCTCCTTGCAGCTGGAGCGTGCCAATCAGCCAGCAGAACGAATGAGCATTTGCAACATTGGCAATGGGCAGCCCCTGGCAACCGCGTGGCAGCAGCTCGTACTGCAGGTAACGGCCTGCCCGTCTCACCTCCCGCTGGAGTTCCCTCCTCCAGAACTTCCCGTGCCAGGGAGCTGGGTGCATCTCCTCGCTTGTCCGTCCTTGCGTCTCGTTCCGTGGCCCGTGGTGCAAGGGGAAGCACCATCAGTTCAGTAGTCCGTATTTCAGAGCTTCACACTCTCAAATCTTTGTGCTTGCTACGTGCATGTTCTGGTGATTTTAAACCAAGACTAAATCATGAATTTCGTAGCAAGTGAAATTCCCATTAGAAATAAGTTAGACTCTGAAAAGTAGCACAAAAAGTACGGGGTTTCCCTCCTGCGAAGTCTTATTGCTTGTATGGGGGGGGCGGCTTCATAATTTGTTTCCCATGTGTATTTGAATGATGGATTTATTTTTATGACGCAAACATTGTTGGCTTCTTGATAGAGTGAGATTTCTGGATGTTCTTTAACATTTTCCTTGCTTCTCTAATTACTTGAACGAGCAGATCAGTCTGACACGCGAGGTAAGTCATGCAGAAGCCATCGTGCTGTTTGTGAAGGTTTCTTTCCTAAGGAAACTCAGTTCAATTGAGAGAGGAGCTCCAGTCGGGGGGCATTTGAGAAGCTGGTTCCCAGTTATGCAGTTCTGTCTACACTGGGCTGTATAGGGGCAGACCTTATGTCATATTATATTAGCGTAGCCCTTCCAGAACAGCCGTCACGTTACTGCACAGGCAGCTGCTTTGTGTGGGACTCCATGTGAAAGGACCAGCCCACACTGCTTGGGCTCAAAGGAGCGGGTAGGAGCTGGAGGTCGTTTTCTTCCTGATTAGCAGCAGGGCTGATGAGAGGGAAGATGTGCTTACGTGTTTTTTATAGCAAAGGACAAATTCACCTTCACCTTTTCTGAATGAATTTGTGCAAAGTGCCTGACTAACAGCTCCAGCATGAAATACCACAGCCACAAAACTGATGAAGCATGAGTTTTCTCCAGTGTTATGGCTTAAGGTCTAACCACTTCCCAGAGAACTTAACCAGGGACTTGAAGGTATTGGGGACTGTGTGACACTTGTGGAAAAAATATCCTTTGTCAGTGACCCCAGGCTGAATCTGTTTATGTTCAGCTCATTGCTGCTTTGGGAAAAGAGAGGGCTTCAGTTCATAAATAATTAATGTTGAGCTTTTTAGGGCAGTTTGTATATGAAATAAAGTGGTTGATTAGCTAAACATGCACAGTTAAGAATTAGTGCAAGGTTATTTCAGTGAGTTTTCATAAAATGTACCGAGGGCCAAATTCCTCTCTGACTTAATAGAATTAATTTAATGGTTTTTAAATGAAGGATGAAATTTTCACCTTCAGTCTTACTCAGCATATATAACGCAGCTTTACTATTATGCACTGCCTTTCATCGTCAAGAATTCACAAAGCATTAGACAGTCTGTGCTGTGGTCTCTGTAGGCTTTGCTAATTCACTAGAGAAATGCAACTACCTCTGAAAAGCTGCGTTTCAGAGAGGCCTGACTCATCTCCGCATGCCACCCTCTTCAACCTCGTGTAGTAAGCAGTATTACAAAACTACCCAATCAGTACTTTTTCCACTTGAAAATTGCATAGGGGATCAGATGTATGATAGTTATCCTGGAATCTGGGCAAGAATCAAGGGTTAACTCCATTTTATGAGTGCAATGCAATTTTTAATGACCTCTGCAACCAGGCTTCAGTTTTTATTGTTGTTTGATTGTCGGAGTGGAATTTGGCTGGAGATTTGTCAGTGAAGTGAGTGTAATCAGGGCTTTAGTATCAGAGTCGCTCTCAATACTTCTTTGTTATATTTGCTCTCAAGCTGCTTCCCTTCTTAGAAAATAAAATTAAGCCCTAAAAAAAAAAGAGGGGCAAAAAGCGACAGGGGCAATGTGCCAGAAGTGTAATGGTTTCCTGAAGTTCTCAAAAGAAAAATCAAGGTCTTATGCAAATTATTCTAATTCACTCAGGCTTTTTTTTTTTTTTTTTTTTTTTCAGCTTTAAATGGCTTTTTTTTTTTTAAATACCAACTTTAAGCTCCTTCTTTAACAGTATCACTCTGCCCTTGGCAGCATGCTTAGCCACTTCCTTCCTTTCACTTTGTAGAAAGTGGGTTCTGCCTGTTCTGCCGGTTTGGTGGCAATTTAGGTGACCCCAGCGACCCAGCTGAATTCTGATGCGCTTGTTGACATTTGATGGGAGTGTGTATGACACCATCTAGCAAAATACTGTCCTTTGTCTCTCAACGAGAAATATCAGATCTACAAATGAGGTCAGGATGCACTCTCATTGCCAAAGATTACAATAAGAAAATAAATGTGATTTTGCTAAAAGCACCTTAGGGCTGTTTTTAAGGAGAGAACCTGGTTCTGTAAATAGGTTAAACAAACCTTTAATATTTTCTTCAGATATTAATTAGAAATATCTAGGATTGTTCTTTATTGGGAATTAACTTGCAGAGAAGGGGTTTCAGGGAGACCCTGTCCTCACAAGAGGTGTTCCTAAAGGTTGCCGAAATGTTTCCCACGTGCTTTTTATTGAGGCAGAGGCCAAAGCATGTGTGTTTTCGTTGCCTTTTGTAGAAGATGGTGTCTGTGACACCTCAGGTGCTGCTGGGGCTTTCTAGGCAGTCACGATCCAGTGCTGCGTGGGCAGCTTGCTTGGCTAACGGGCACCGTTTCGGGTGAACAGGGAGAAAACGCTGCATGGGGTTGGTGCTGCTGGATAAGCGGATAAGTATAACTTGCACCAGACGTAGCTTCCCAGGGTCTTTACGTCTTCTCTTGGAGGTCCATGCTGAGTGTGCACCAGGGGCATGAATTGAGGGGTTCCAGCCCCAGAGCTTTCGCAGGACGTGCGATGTAGTAGGAGGCTGCGGTTCAAAACCCCAGCTGCAAATGCATCCCCTTCCTTGGCCCTTTAGGGAAAGGCTGGAGAAGACAGAGAATTACTGCGGGTTGCTGAAGCAGTAGAGGTGCTTTTCCAAACCAAGAACCCTCTGGACAAAAGGCCATTAGATACTTACTGAAAACCTCTCCATTACTATGAAAATGTAACATTTAACGGCATTTTAATCATGGAGCGTTTATCTAGTTAATAAAAGTCTTCCAAAAATCCTTCCAGTTTTTAATGATGTTCTAGCCTGAGCCTCCTAACTCAGAGCAGTGGGAGCTGCATGGCTGGCTAGGGCTATTTGTTACAGAGAGTGCAAATGGGGTTGTAGTAACTAAAAAGAGCAGATCTGGCTGTTAATGTGTCCCTATGTCTGTTCTCCTAAATTCTGCAGTAAAAGAAAAGAATGTAAAAAATGTGTTTTTTTGTTGTTTTAATATCCCAAGCTGTGGGAGTCTTGGCAGCGGAGCAAGACGTTGCCTTTTTATCGTTTTACCAAGGCAGGCGTAGCCCAATAAGCTTGAAAGTCACCAGCGAGTCGCACCTATCATGTGTCTCCTGCAAGGTTAGTCTCTGGTGATGATGTTTTTTACAAGCTTGATAAATCTTAATACGCTTCATGTGTGAGGGATTTAGTTTAATCTGCCTGGTTCTATTTCACTCCTTCCCAGATCAGCCCTGTGCTGCTCCTCGCAGCAGGGACCAAGGCTGGCCAGGGAGAAGACAGGAAAGTGCCTGTAGGCAGGCGATGGCATCACGCGCTAGTTAACTATTCAGAGCATCACTTCTTAATAATAAAGAATATTGCCTTTTTTCTTTTATTAAAACGTCAGACATGTAAAACATTAATTCCAAGGCCATATCCTGAGTTGGTTTGAGTTGGCATGGCTCCATGGGCTTTAAAGAAGCTCTGTCAACTCCGATCAGCTGGGGAGCTGCACAAAAATGTTTGCATTGAAGGGCTCCTTTGCCATGGATACACATGGACGGTTTCCATTCCCGCCAGTACTTCATAACCAAAATAAAATACAGCATCCAATAAGCCTGTTTTGCCAACAAATACAATATGACTGTACTTTGACTTCGGTGATCTTGCAGATGGTTTCATGGCTAAGATTTGGATCACATTGCAGTTCATGTCCCAGAGAAATAACACCTGATAAAAATTAACAAGTGCATTTTTCCTCATTTATTCTTCAGTCTTTTATTTTAATCTGAGGTAGCTTTGACTTATGTCAAAAATGACATTTTTGTGAATTGAGGGCCAGTTTCAAGCAGAAGGCAAACTGGAAAGCACAGCAGAATGCATGGCAAGAACTTAAAAAAATAGTGGAGAGATTGTTTTTCTAAAAAAGGGGGGGCTCATTGTTTTTCCAAGAAAATACCATCAAGTTAATCTTTCTGTGCTGTGTTTTGGCCTAATTCTTGTATAAACCCTCTGAGCCCGCAGAACTGGACGCTCTGATGCAGGGTGCGGTGTGTTCAGGACAGACCTCGGTGTTGTCTCATGCCTGTTGTCTGCCCGGCTGCTGCTGCCCCGTTCTTGGCCCCTCTGTCTTTCCAAGGCCGCTCCTGCTCTCTTGGCCTGTAGATCCCTGCAGGGTCACACAGGCCCTCGCTGCGGCCTGGCCTGCTCTGGGGAATTCAGTAGGAACGAGTCCTCCTGAGTTTCTAGGAATGGCCTGGGTCAGGTTTCACCGCAGCATATGTGCGACTATTCCCAGGAGCTGGAATATGAGTCCGCAGCAGGACGAGGCTCTGAGCTCAGGACGCAGCCTGAGCTGAGGGACGCTCGCCGTGTCTTTCTGAAGTGACAGTATGGCTGATGGCACTGCTGGCAGCTCGGGAAACTCCTGCTGTTCACCCTTCTGCAGGGATTAGCCAAATTCCAAGAGGAATCATGGAACCCGCTTCCTGCCTCGCAGCA